AATGACCTAATGATCCCTTCTTAAACTTGTTAAAGCAACCAATCTTTAAGCTGTGAAAAGATAAATAAAATTGGCCTTAAGTACCCCCTAGCAATGTCCTACATCAGTTATCATGTTATCTGCTTCACTATACCTATTTGCCTTTCCATCACAGTTAATAAAAGCATGAGCACTGTCAACGTCGAGATAAGGCTGAGTGGAAACGAGATCAAATAAATATATTGTCGTTACTGTACTGTTTTTTCTCTTTCCATTCATCTGTAGCATTAAATGTTTCTTTCTCCGGTTACAATATGGCTCTATAAAGGTAGTGATGAAATAATAGAGATTTGAACATTCCTAACAGAATTATGAATGGCCTATAAGTAAGTAACAAGAAATTGGATAAGAACAGCTTAAACTAACTAAAATTGTAATTATGTATGTTTAAGATATAAACTTTTTAACTCGAGAACTTTTGATTAACACACCAGTCTGCACTTCTGTGTTGAGGCATAGTCATAGGGATTTGACAGTTTTGGGACATTTGAAATCTCCCAAGGAAATGATTCTGCCAGTTCAAACTTTTAGGCATTTGCTAGTGTCAACGTAATTGGAGGTACCAAATTGATGTTGGGAATTCTGAAGTATAAATTATAATACTAAGAACTCTAAATTAGACTATGATGCCAGTGAGATCAAAATCTAACATGGATTTGCAATGAAGAATGCTATCCAATTAAAGTGCTTTTGGAACTGCAGAGAAAAATTGTCACCCGAAAGCATCAGTGACTTTTTTTATTTATGATAGTGAGGCTCCTAAACACTTGTAGCCATCCCATCCTCTCGGTTTGCCAGGTTCTTCAGTATGGGATGGCCAATGGCCTGAAAAGGTTTTGACCCTGAGAAATTTACCTTATACTGTTCAATTAAGATGGCAAAATATTGTCACGTGCAAAAGTCCTTTGTGATAACTAGTGTTGGGAGCCTCACGGTTAATTTGATAGCAGTCGAGTTAAATGCCTGCAAACTCCTAAAAGTGTAAAAGGTGCTGGAGAGATGGAATATAGTTTCTGATACTATGGAAACAGTCGAGTTTCTGTGTAACATACAAAGGGCTTGGTGGGCAGTTCAATTGTTAGGATGCACTGCCTGCTCATAATTTCTTTTCATATGGGACGTGCTGAAATCCTGCTTTTGGATCTTATTAGAATAGTTAAAACAACGCAATATGCTATTTGTTGAAAGATATAAAAGTTGAAGAGAGAAATTAGACATGAAGAACACAAGAATAATTTCGTGCTTCAGCCACTAGGGATTACATCCATGACGCACAAAGCCCAAAGGGCTACATCTCTTTCATTACATTCTTAATTTTTGTATACAATGATCACCTCTATTTATAGGTGAAAGAATACAAACATATGAAAAATATGATATAGGAAACATTCCTAAAATCACTTCCTTGATTCACTCATACCAATTTGTTAATGAGTGATTTAAGGCCGTAAATCATTCCTATAATAATATTCTACAACACTCTTCCCCGCTTCAAGTTGGTATATAGATTTTTAACTTAAGTGTTCAAACTTGAAATTAAGTACAAAGTCGCCGAGAGTTTGAGACGAGTAGATCCGAGAAGAGTTGATCCAAAGATTGAAGATGAGTTGATCTGGAGATCTGAGAGGAGTTGGTCCGAAGATCCAAAACTAATTGATCCAAAGATCCAAGACAAGTAGAGAATAGAGTCGGCTATGATAAACCGTCTTTGATACTATGTTGAAAGATATACTTATAAAAAAAAAAAAAAAATACTATGTTGAAAGATATAAAAGTTGAAGAGAGAAATTAAACTTGAAGAACACTAGAATATAATATGGTTCAACTACTTAGGCTTACATTCATGACACACAAAGCCCAAAGAGTTACATCTCTCTCATTACATTCTCTCTTAATTTTTGTATACAATGATCACCTCTAAATATAGGTGAAAGAATACAAACATGTGATAAATATGATATAGGAAACATTCCTAAAGCACTCTCATGATTCACTCATATCAATCTATCAAGGAGTGATTTAAGGTCTTTAATCATTCTTATAGTAATATTCTCCAACATGCCCCGTCAAGGTGTTATACAGAGATTTTAACTCAAATGTCCAACTTGAAACTAAATACGGAATTGTCGAGAGTCCGAGACGAGTTGATCCGAAGAATGAAGATGAGTTAATCTGGAGATTCGAGACGAGTTGATCTGAAGATCCAAGACGAATTGATATGAAGACCAAGACAAGTATAGGGTATGATAAGCCTGTTATGATACCATGTTGAAAGATATAAAAGTTGAAGAGAAAAGTTAACCATGAACACCGCAAGAATATAATGTGGTTCAGCCACTAGGGCTTACATGCACAAAGCCCAAAGGGTTGCATCTATTTCATTACATTCTTTCTTAATTTTTGTATACAATGATCACCTCTATGTATCGGTGAAACAATACAAACATGTGATAAATATGATATAAGAAATATTCCTAAAACACTCCAATGATTCACTCATATCAATCTGTCAAGGAGTGATTTAAGGTCTTTAATCATTCCTATAGTAATATTCCCCGCCACCCCCTTCAAGTTGGTATGCGGAGATTTTAACTCAAGTGTCCAATTTGGAACTAAATACGAAATTGTTGAGAGACGAGTTGATCCGAAGATACAAGAGTTGATCTAGAGATCCGAGACGAGTTGATCCGAAGATACAAGACGAATTGATCTGAAGATCCGAGATAAGTTGAGTATAGAGTAGGGTATGATAAACTTGCTCCGATACCATGTTGAAAGATATAAAAGTTGAAGAGAAAATTAAACATGAAGAACACAAGAATATAACGTGGTTCAGCCACTAGGGCTTATATCCACGATGCACAAAGCCTATACGGCTGCATCTCTTTCATTATATTCTCTCTTAATTTTTATATATGTTAGAATGTATTTTTTATATATATATATTTGAACGTTTTTCTAATATATTTTTACTTATCAAAAAAAATATATATATATATAGTAGTAGGCATTTCACTAAAGGGCAATATAGTCATTTGGCTGTAATAGTAATTGTATATATATTCACATACGTGAGAAGAAATAAAATTGTGTAACGACTCAAACCCGGCGGTCCGGAGTCCTTACCCGAATCGGAGGTCATTTAAGGGTATTACGGTTATTTCCAATGTTAAGTCATAATTATTACATCATTCTAGGGTTTATACTATATCATTGCGTCATTAAACAACTTGGAGTTAGTCACGAGAGAAGAAGAAACAAAGTCAAGGGAAGATCAGGAACCGGTCGACGTGAAGAGGGAACACGTCCAGTAGACGTGTTCGCTCTTCACGTTGACTGGTTTAATCCCCCATGCCCAAAAACCCCACTGTGAAGATATTGGTCGATGTGAAGATCCACAAGTGTTGACCGGTTTGTTCCCCACGCCCTTTTTGGCCTGTGTTGGCTGGTTTGAAGCCCCGGCACCCATTTGGTTTATTTGTGACCTCATATAAGGTCTAAACCTATCCCAAAACATTCACAAATGACCCAAGATATGTAAGACAACCCAGTGTTGTTACAGGCGTGCCCAGGCTCGCGCCTAGGCTTGAGGCTCAGGTTTAGCGCCTGTTGTCATCCCAGGCTCACTGATGTTTACTAGGTGCGCGCCTTGGTTGCCCCTCGTCCTGTTTGTGAGGCGCGCCTATTGATATTTGTTTTAAAAAATACGATTGTTCTATTTCTTAAGCCAAAAAGGGTACTTTTGGCAACTTAATAAACAAAAAAGAAAGCCTAAGCATATGATATAAGGAATTTTGTACAAAAGAATAAAAAAATAAGAAAGCCAAGAGTCAAAGTGTTAACCAAAATGAGATTGTGAGATGAAGACGAAGCCCTAGTTGCAGAAATGAACGACGAAGCCATGTCAATTATTTCTTTCTTTTTTTTTCTCTCTTCTGCTCTAGATCTCCCCTCTCTTCTTATCTTTGTTTACATCTCTCTCTTCGTCTAGTTCTCTTATCTCTCTATCTTTTTTTTGGCTCTGTTTTTTCTTTTTCTTTTTCCTTCTTGTTAACATATTTATTTCTTTTTTTGTTTTGTTTTGCCAATCAAAAAAACACATTTTGCTTTGCCTTTCAAGAAAACAAATTTGTGCTCTGTTTTATGGTTGTTGGATGCTTGTATAGTTGATGGATTTATTTTTTTATATTTGATATTAATTTTTAGAATATTGATATGACTTATGAGATATGAATGTTATTATGGTAGTTTAAATTTTCAATTGTGAGCCTCACTTCACTCAGGCGCACGCCTCGTGCCAAGGCTCCAAAGGACCTCTGGTGCCTTGGTGCGCCTTGGGCCTTTAATAACACCGCCAAGGCTCTTAGTCATAACTGGTTGAGGTTTATTTATTCCAAGCTAGGATTACGCAACATATCCTCACCAGCTTGAGGGGGGGTGTTAGAATGTATTTTATACATATATATATATATATATAGTAGTAGGTATTTCACTAAAGGTCAATATAGTCATTTGGCTGTAATAGTAATTGTATATATATTCACATACGTGAGAGAAGAAATAAAATTTACTCACGAAATTCCCCAAAAGCTTTCTTTCTTGTTTTCTTTTCTGCAAACCCTAAATCCTACAGTATACGATGATCACCTCAATTTAATAGGTGAAAGATTACTAACATGTGATAAATATGATATAGGAAACATTCCTAAAATCACTCCCATGATTTGCTCATATCAATCTGTCAAGGAGTGATTTAAGGACTTTAATCATTCCTATAATAATATTCTCCAACAATATTTTATTTTCCCCTAGTTATTCTCCGTCACTATTTATGTTAAAGTAAATTTTTTTGTCATTCTACTCAATTTATTTTGAATTGTTATTAATTTTTTGGATGGCTGCTTATGATTCTTTTTCTAACAAATGTTAATGATCAAAACATTTTTAATTTCATTCTGCAGGAAGAAGAATTATATGAATTTGACATTCCACTAAAATTCATAGCCTCTGTGGGTGCTAGAATTCATGGGCTGGCTTGCTGGTTCGATGTATTGTTCAATGGGAGGTAATTATCTGACATTAACCAATAATATATGTTTTTAGTATTGGCCATAGTTCTGCATCAACTCTATAAAAGGTGTGTTTTTAAAATCACAATTTACGGCATTTTTCAGATTATTATTATTTTTTTATGAGTGGCATTTTTCAGATTTATCAGCCGATGTATTTCATATATGTCAATTGAAAACTGTGTCAATGAATTGTGGATTTAATTGACTGGACACATCGTAATTTTGGTGTGTATTATACAAAGTGCATTAATTATAAATTATGTAATATCTTGAAGTCCAAATCTTGTATTAGTTTCTATTATCTGCTATTCATAATTTTCATTTTTCAAATAATTAAGTTACATCAAGCTATATGCATTATATCCGTACTTCAAGTTTGTGAAAATCCTTTTTTTGCATTATTTTGTTCCTGTGTTTTTACTGCTGTCTTTCTGTTTTGGTCTGCAGCACTGTACCAAGGTGGCTCACTACTGCTCCTGGTGCACCAACAACCCATTGGTATCAACTACGTTGTGTTCTCTCTCAGCCTCTTTATGTCATGCCAGGACAAGAAATTACTGGCCAACTCCACATGGTTGCCCACAATGCTCAGAGTTATACCATCAATCTAACAATGTCAGGTTGGTCATTATTTTATTCTATCTATATTCCTTTGTGTTTGTAGTGCTGATAGGATTAGTAATCTAACCAAGTCATATATTAATATTAATAGTTAAAATGTGGGGACCTGGTGCTGTACAAGGAGGAATACTCCAGACATCATCTTGCAAACTTGATCTGAAAGAGCCCTATTATCGAATGTCTCAACCACAAGCCTATTCAATGGCCCAAGATCAGCAACCACATCAGCTATTACAAACACCGGTATTTGTTAATCCTGTATTCACGTTATATTCGTTACAATTTGTTTAAAAAAAAAAAAAGGAATGGCTGCCTTATCCTTAAGTGCTATACCTCTTGGGTGTAACTTTTCTATGTGATTTACCATTGCTAGAACAGTCCTAGCCTATCAAGTGATGAGGGCATGCATTCTTTTTCAAGAAACGCATCTCATAGACCCCTTCCTTCTCTGAAAACAAACACGATTATATATTTCATGAATATGCCATTTTTTTTAGTGGAAACTGGAAAATGACACCAGGGAACATTGTTCGCCCCCCCCCCCCCCCCCCCCCCCCCCCCCCCGGAAACAGATTTTGCAAATGGAATCAGTATGCACCAACTTTACTTCTTGCTCAGTAGCAGCATTATTTACATGAGTATTTGTGGAATAGTTGTTTGACAATCTGGGGTGAAACATCCAACAATTCACGTGCAAAAGTTGCACAAGTTAAATTGAACCATAGGTTCCATTCTTTGTGTCATCTTGTTGTGGGACGACGTTAGGAGTGGGACTCACACTGACCTAATCTGAGCAACCTAAGCCCCGCCCAAAAATTTGTGACCTTGGACAGAGCATTAGAGATCTCAGAATCAAATTTCAGATCTCACATTCATTTCTTACTGGATTTGGGTAATGCTTCCTCCTACCCGAGGAACCCAAAGTATAAGAAAAATTCAAGTTTCTAGATTTTAAGGTTATGTACTAGATACAAAAGTTGAGATTAAAGCTGCATGTTTTACACTAAACTCTTTTGTTGCATTATTACTGGTTTTTGGAACATTTAATAGTTGTCATAGGTTTTACTACAATTATAACTTGTTCTTTTTTATACTTAATTTGGTTGATTTTGTTAAGTTATTATTACATGGACCCATGTATGAAAAGTTTTATCATAGGTTAGGTTATATTGATATGGTTTCAATGTTTAATGCACAGGCTTTAGACTCTCTATGATTTGTAATGGTTCTGTTTATTAGTATGATCTATTCTTGAAAATCAATAAATCTGTTCAGATTTTTGAAAATTTGGACAACCAAGCAGTCCCTAGAACCTGAGGAACCTGTATGGGTGCAGGTTGAGGTATGTTGGGTCTGGCACGGATTAAGGGGTCAGTACATCAGGGCTATTGTGGGCTGACCCCTTGACCCTCCCAACCTGCCTGAATCTTACCCTAAGAAGCACGGACACTCCAAAATGGGTGAAGAATCCGTGTTCGACACGTGTCGGACACGGACACGCGTCGGACACGCCAAAAAACGTGTCTGGAATTTTTTTATTTTTTTTATTTTCGGACACGGCTTGGACACGGCTCGGACACGGCTCAAACAGCTCGGACACGGCTCAGACAGCTTCGACACGGCTCGGACACGGCTCAGACACGGCTCGGACACACTTTTCTGGATTTTTTTTTTTTTTTTTTTTAAATTTTTAATGCTGATATGTTAATTTTTTTTTTTTTTTTTTTAATTTTTAATGCTGATATGTTCTATTTTTTGTTTTGTACTACCCTAAAGATGGTGATATATATATATACTAACCTAAAGATGCCACAATTCGCCGTGTCCGTGTCCTAAAGATGCTGATATATATATATACTAACATATCAGTGATATATATATATTCCAACCTAAACATATCAGTGTTTTTTTTTTTAAATTATTAATGCTGATATATATATATATATATATACTATTCGCCGTGTCCGTGTCCTAATTTTTTTGGATTTGCCGTGTCGCTGTGTCCGTGTCGTGTCGTATCCGTGTCCCGTATCCGTGTCCGTGCTTCTTAGATCTTACCCCTACATGTGCGGTCTAATATGAGATGGACACTTGTTCAAAGTATCCATGTGGGACAGAATATGACACTGTTATTGGTATAGAGTATGCTTCTAAACACCCACTTTTGAACCAACAACAGATGTGGCTGATATTGGAGACAAAGCTATACATAGTTTGCTAAAAATATATTAAGGTTGCATTTTCTACCCATTCCAATGTAATACAGATAATTCTAATAGAGTAAATTTTATATCGTGGATATGCTTTTTTACTTGGACCCTTCATTCATTTGAAGGTTAAGAGACTTCTACCACCTAGACTCCCACTTGTGAAAAGCTGCTTCTACATCCAACATAAACTTTTGGCATTTTGTTTTTACTAGTTTTCTTCTTGTATTTGCCTTTTCATAATTTGTTCCACCTTTGGTAATTTGCATAACCTTGATATTGGTCGTGCTGATTGTGGTAGAATGGAAAATAATTTCAATTTATATGTGCTGGTGGGTCTAAATTGTCATAGGACCCAATTTAAATCAATGGGAGGTGATTGATAACATTAATTAGAAAGTCTCAGTAATAGAGAGACGGTCCAATCAAATGGGTTTGTCTCTTACAATTTAATTATATTCCTATTCCTTTATACTTGCACACTTGACTTTGATGCTTCTCTGTTCTGTATACCTGTCTCTTCGAGTTTGTAGTAAATTAATGTATGTAACTAAAATATACTTGTCTCTTCGAGTTTGTAACAAATAAAATAATCATGTGTTTTGGAAGACTGTCCTTGTCCCCCTTTTCTATAAGAAGACTGTCCTTGTCCCCCTTTTCTATAAGAAGACTGTCCTATCATAGTTAGTGCCACAACAAGAATTAGCCCAGCCAGGACATCAAAATTTCCCAGATTGGTTGATGTGATGATCCGCCGGGATAAGCTTTTCTATAGGAGTCCAGCAAGACGTGTATCTCTTGAATAAAAACCATGTATCCATTTAGAGTGTCGGACAGAAAACACCTGGCTGCAGGATATACCTAGTACTGGATAGGTTGGCTGTGTTAGTCGATGAAGACTCACACTTCCATTACACAGATGCCAGTTGGAAATCAATTGCTGGTCCATGTACACTTGGGAAATAGTATGAATCTGCGCGGTTTATCCTCCGCCCCTCCATATCTGCATCTTCTTTAGTTAATGACACAGTTCAAAAGGGTGAAGTGAGTCCCAAAAGAAATTTGTTATTTGATGAAAGTTCATGCTAAAAAACAGTTTTTGTCATGTTTGATGGTTAGGGTAGCATGTCATCTTATTACACACGCACGCACATTTATGTATATATTTTTAGTTCCAGTTATACCAAAATTTTCTATCTTGCTATTACCTAGTACCAAAAACTCGTCATTGTGAAATATAAATTGCATGCTTTCCTTCAAAAATGCTCACCATTAATGGTGTGATAATGGTGGTTTTTTTTTTTTTAAAGACGAGGGATGGTGCTTTCTGTTTAGACTCCCAATCCTTGTGCTTAGACTTATCTCACAAGTTATCCATTTCTGTAGCGGCGTTGTTCTTCAAAATCTAAAGCCAAGACTGACTGAGTTTTTTCCATTAACAGGATTTACAAATACTGGGAGAGGAGGAAGAGGTATCTGAGTTGATGCAACAACCATCACAAAATTCGGGGGACCAGCTCCATTAATTCACTGAAGGAATACAGTCTAACAACTGATGTCCACAAAGGATGTTGCTGACATGCTCCCATGTTTGTAAAATTAAAGGTTCTTTACCCTAGTGTGCATGGTTTTCAGACCGCTACCCCGGTAGAGCCATTCACCTGTAAATTATATGACACCATCCCGGTACTTTATGTTTGAGTGTTTGTGCATTGTTGTACAATGTCGTCACAGTTCAATCAGATGAATAATTGATTATGCGAATCGTTCGAGTTTCTTTGGAAATGAGGTGCTATACTGTGGGTTTTCTTGCAGTCACTGCCCAATTTATCGCATTTAGGGCTCTCAAATGGTTAATTAATACCAGTGTGATCGTTCACAGAAATTTGAAATTTGTGGTGCTAGGGTTGGACTTACATGTTTTGAGAAATAAGATTTCTGTGAAGCATGAATAGAAACTCGAGAAGAATCTTCTCCTCTAAGGCTCTGTTTGTTTGCAAGTAAAATATTTTTTTAAAAAATATTCTTTTATTTTTTTGGTGTTTGGTTGATTCAAAACCTATGTAAATGTTTAACTCAGGAAAATATATTTTGACAAAAAGTTACAAAAACAACGTACCTCTGAATTTTTGGGAAGTAATTTCACAAATACGAGCCCGATCAAAATTAGTCATCGAGCTCAGCCTCCTCCATGACGAACCCGACGATCTCAAACCTCCATCGTCGTCACTCTCTCTCTCTTCCCCCACTGGGAAATTTCTCTTCCGCTTTCTCTATCCACTCTGAAACCTTAGACCATAGACCGTATCAATCCCTATAAAGTTCTTTTTTTAACTCTTAAAGCTTTTCATTTCATTCAAAATCGCATTCCGATTCGTCTCTATATTTCATCTATTGGAACTTCAGTCTCTGATTTGTTGACCCTCTATTCTTGTTTCTGTTTTGGGTACCAGTTTCTCGTCTCTCTCAATATAAAAAATATATAACTGCGTAGGTATGTATTTTGGTGTATTATAATTAGTGTTTTTATATATTAATTTTGGGCTTCTGCTGACTCTACGTTGTGAGGTTTATAAATGGTTGCTGTGGATGGTGCTCAGGTAACAGTCGTGTTGTCGCTGGAATTATTAAATAAAAGCAATAGCAACTTTAGTGCCAGGACTGGACCATTTTACCCTATAACTGGAGTAAAAGATTTGAGATTTTCCATCAATACATAAATACATTTGTTCCATTGAGATTATAAGACAAGTTTTCTCTCTCTCATTTTATTTTTTTTATATAAGAACAGATCAGAATAGAAGTTCTTTGTTTTGTATATTATTGTAAGGGTTCAATTTATAGTTTGTGTTCTCTTATTCATCTTGAAATGAAAAAGAGTGCAAGTCGTAGGATGTGATAACTATATTTTCATTGAGAAAGGTTCACATTGGTTGTTATGATGAAAATTGCCTAAAAATTCTTCTAATGTTTTTAAAGAATTTCTGGATTCTAGTTTGAAACTTGATGCTTAATCACAAATATTTCTTATATCAGCTTCCTCGGGAACCTCATCTTAATAGTAAACTATATACTAATATTCAAGTTTATTCTACAGTGCACATAAAACTTTCATTATGCTTCTTCTATACATAATATAGAATCATTAATTAGATTATGGCCAGCATCAATTGAGAATATGCCAAAACTAATTTTCTGGTTGCATCAATTTATCATCATTGGTAGTTGGGTTCAATATATCAAAGATGCTTTCATTTTTTATCCAGATGTTTCTATCATTCTATGCCGTAGTTGGGATTTATCTGGTGAGGGTGCTTTTGTTGCTAGTAAGGCTGTTTAGCAGTCAGCACTTGTAACCAACGGGCTAGTGGTCTAACGGTATCAGTCTCTTGCTTCTCAAAGGGAGGTGGGGAGTTCAAGTTTGAAAAGAGATAAGTGTGTGTGAGTACCAACTAAAAAAAAAAAAAAAAAAAGTTAGCACTTGTGCTACCAATTCAGAATGGACTTATAAGTCAGCAGACGTTGCTTTCCATGGGCATAAGTATCAAAACCATTTGTGTTTTTTTTTTTTGTTTTTGTTTTTGTGTAGGGAGAGAAGAGAGCATTTGTTTTTTTAACTGCTCTTTTACTAGTAGATTATAGTCTGTTATTTATGCGAATGTAGCTCTTCAATTACCCCCCTCTGATTGGAGTAATCTGATGCAATGGGCTACTCTGACTTGAAGATTAATCCTTTGTTTAAGTTAGATGCTAGCTATTACTGCTTATGTTATTTGGGTAGGTGGCTTTTTTTATGTTTTTTTATTGACACAGATGGGGAAGAAAAGAGAAGGTTCCAAACAATTTATATGGAACAAACAAATGGAGAGGGTGTTATTGGAAATTCTTTTAATAGGGTAGCAAATGCAATCAAAGATAAATTTGGAGTTGAATGTTCATCCAATCACGTTGAACACCATCTTAGAACCGTAAGAAATGCATGGTTGGCAATAGAGCAACTTCGTGGAAAATCAGGTTTTGGATGGGATGAGAATATGAAGATGGTGGTTGCTAGTCCAAGCGTTTATGATGAACATATTTAGGTATAACAAAACTTGACGGCCGTCACATTGAGGAAGCATCAATGGAGAGAGCGACCAACAAAAGAGCAAGCTCATCGAGTGCAACGTCATCCCAGTCAACACAACATGGTAAGAGAGGAGTCGTACCTCTCGTGATATGGATCAACTTGAAAGCATTACAACAAAACTTGGAGCGGTCGCTACTGCAATTAGTAGGTTGACTGAAGATCGACTGGATATTAACAACTTATATGATGAGCTGAGGAAGACTGATGGTTTCAACCATGTGTTTCTTGCCACAGCATTTGATTACTTGGTGGAGCATGAAAGGCTTGCAAAGGCATTTTTGGCTAAGAACAACAAACTTAGAAAGATTTGGCTGGAAAATTTTCAAAAGCAATCACATTAGATGGTTAGTGCCATTAAGGAGATTTTTATAGCCCTTTTGTGCAAAGCAATTGAGCTTAAAACTATAATTGTAAATGATCAGTGCCACTGACCTCCAGCTACAACCAGACCTTTTGGAGCTTAAGATAGGAACATGTGATCTCTTGTTACTAATCCAACCAGACCTTAACATAGGAATATGCATAATGTAGGAAACACCAATAGTTATGTGGTACATCATAATTTGTGTTATGAGAATAATTGATCTTAATACATTTGTACTCCAAGTTTTTTAAAGTAATTTCAATGTCTGAAACATTGGATGATCAATTAAAATCAAAGCTATTTTTTTTTCTTAAATTTCTTTTTATTATCATATCTTTTTTATACTCATCACTGGTTAGTGATTAGATTGTAGTACTACTTTTCAAAACTTCAAGAAGTGATATGCAAAGTGAAGGGGAAAAAAAAAAATTTCAATAGAGAGATAAAGTCTACTATCATGATGGACAGGTTTGGTTTGTTTTGCTTATCCTTTTTTTTTTTTTTTTTTCTAAATCAATTGATCATTTTTTAAAAAATTTCTTGTAAAATAACTATTAATATTCGAATAGAAATAGTTAGACTAAATGGATAGGTAAGAGAGAGATTCGATAATTAAGGACTTACATAAGAACTTTGATTTTCATTTTAAAATATTTTTAGAAGCCAAACACAAAAAAATATTTTTCATAAGAACTTTGATTTTCATTTTAAAATATTTTTAGAAGCCAAACACAAAAAAATATTTTTCGGAAAATATTTTATGGATGTTTGCCAAACACCAGAAAATAAAAATAAAAAAGATATTTAACCTGAAAAAAATTTATGAATAAAATATTTTCCGAGGAAGATATTTTACGTTTGTTTCACGTTTGAAAGAAAAAAGTGTAAATGCGTTAAAATTCTAATTGACAATAATAATGTTGAATACTTAAAATTTTTAAAATTAACAATTTATAATATTCGCTTTTTACTTCGGCACTTAAAATTTAAGTATCAAAATTTTTCGGTACTTAATTTTCAGTTTTATTAAAAGTGTAAGTCAATTTGTATTATCGAAAAGTGAGAAGAATCTCTCTCTACCTACATGTCAATGTATCACCATGGAAAATACTTCAGTCCTGCCCCATCAAGACAAACTGTGTCCTGCACACTAATGTGTCCCAATAAGAGGTTGACGCCTCTTTTAAATTTTTAAAAATACAAAACATGGGTTATACCCATTTTTTAGGGTTAAACTCGAAAGATCTATTTTTTTCCTTTCTTTACTCCCATATGTGTATCTTCATCTACATCTTTCTTTTTTCATAACCGCCAATCATTCCAAACCTAATATTTCCATTGTGTCCTCCACCACTCCCATAACATTATATTTGTCCCGGCCGTGTAATTTTTCTCTCTTTCAAATAGCTTAAATGAGTAAGAGATTTTGTTCAAATTTTGAGTTTTTTTCGCTTTCAAAAAACAAGGATAATGGTTTCTGTTATGTTCTTTTTGCTCTCATTCTTATTTACTAAAAAAGGTATGTATGAAATAAAAATAAGATAGAAATCATAGAATTGAGTGAAAAAAAAAAAAGAAGGAATAATTTTCATATATAGTATGCATAAAAAATAGTTGAGTTAGATTTTAAAAAGGGAGAAATAGAAATGGTTAGTTCAATTTTTTTAAGGATAGTTTTCTATCTTAAGAAAATTAAAAATAACATATGAAGGTAAGAAATAGAATTTTCCATGAGTTAATTAAAAATAATATTCAAAGTTGAGTGAAGAAAAAAATAGATCTCTTGGGTTTAACTATAAAAATGGATATAACCCATATTTTCTATTTTTTTAAGTTTAAAAAAGGTGTTAACTTCTTATTGGGACACGTTAGTATGCAGAACACAGTCGGTCTTGATGGGACAGAACTGAAGCATTGTCCACATCACCATTGAAGTGGGCGACCGGCGATTGGCAATATTTCGACCTGAGATTGTGTCCAGCGAAATAAATGAATTATTATTAGTGTTTTTTATTTTTAGAAAGGTTGGTTACTTCAAAGCATCGGTAATAAATTCAAATCTATTTATAAGTCTTTGGATGAAATATTGAAAGGTATACAACAAGATATTCTATTATCTGTTGTCTGCTAATGACAGTGTTATGGATGTTGTAAGAACAAAAAAAGAGATATGGAAAAAAATTTGGCAGTGAAAGGATTAAGAATTAGTAAAGTTAAAATGAAATACATGGAAACATTGATAACGATTGAAAACCAAAGACCAATGAGCCACTTGGTACAATGGTATAACAATTTTAAAAATTTAAATTAATAATAGCTAAAAAAAAAAAATTCACAACGGAGATAGAGAAAGAAATGGCATTGGCACTAAAACATTGATGATGTGCAATCTCTATTTCAATCAATGGATTTGGTTCACTTTGGTATATATTTCGTTTTTTATGTTTTTTATTTTTGGGTGAAAAGACGTGTTTAGTAAAATCTATTTTGTTTTGTACAATGTGAAAACGTTTCGTAAATAATGACCAAAATTAAAATACTAATTTGGTATTTTTATATGTTATAGTGCGTCCAACCTTTATATTTTTCAAATTTACAAAATTTTTTTGCCAAATGTGTTTTCATATTTTTGTTTTTAAAAAATCTTACAACAAATAAATGTTACCGAAGATACTTCCGATTGTTATTCTAAACGCTCTACGCCAAAACACTTATTTATTTCGAATTAAAATAAAAAGCCAAAAAAAATACGCGAACCAGTCCATGCGTTTTGTTGTCATATTGCTAGAGAGGCAAGCATGGTTGAACATGGATGATGTTATGGTTAATGCATTAATAAATTGTTCAGTTAGAGGTCACACCATGTAACACAGTCACTTGGTTGACCGAGTCAAGGATAAATATAATATTAACAGTGTACATACTATTTATTTTGTAGGGCTAAAATTATAAAACCCCTGCTATTTTCAATTTTTGATTATAAAACTCTTTATTTCTAAATTTTTTAATATTATTATAAAGTTATTACATTGTCCTAATTCTGTCAATAAACCGTTAAAGACTTGTTAAATGACTAAATTACCCTTATGATATATCATTTTATTTTTTAAAAAAATCAATATTTTACAAATTATAGAATTATCCTCAAGCACAAACCTGAATATTATAATTTAATTCAAGTCAATTTATGAATATTACATAATGTATTAAATTATAATTTAGTTCATTTAATTTAAATTAAAAAATCTTTCGTAGAATTCGCAATTTTGTAAACAAAAAAACTAAATAAGTCTTTAAAATATCATTATTTATTTTGTATTTTTAAAAAATTGAATCATTTTCATACTTAAAAAAATTGACTAATTACTACACAATTTAAATATAAAAATTGACAACAATTAGGATAGCTAATAATTTTTTTTCAAATATGTTTAAATGGTAAACTAATAGATTTTGGATAACCACTAAATTTTGAATAAAATTCTAATTACAAAAGTGTTGCCCAAGCAATGTTTCAATTGTCAATTTTTTTAATTTCAATTAATATGTAAGTACTAATCTTTCTCAGCAAATGTTTAATACAACAATCTGAATTTTAAACCTCAACTATCAACATTTATCAATAGATTAATCATGCTAAATTTAAAGCAATAAATGTAAGAGATAAAGAGAGAGATAGCAAACAAGTACTCAATGATTTTAGCGAGATTCGGAAACTCCTACTCCTCGGCTCAAGGCCCCTCTTGAGACTTCCCAATCCACTATGGCATCTCCTTATGAGTGGAGAGCAAACCTTTTACAAGAAGCACCTCCTTGCTTCAAAGTGCTAAGGGAAACACCTTCTTTTAGTCTTTCTTGGGCCATACCAACCCTTACAAGTTTGAAGAAGATAAATGAAGTACACAATAATCTCTCTCAGATCTGTAGTATAAATTTCAGCTCACTCTAGAGTATGTATGAATAGATTGAAGCTCAATAATCTTAAAAGATATGAAATGTATGAATGACGGTATAAAGGCTCTATGATTGCATATATATGATTCTCAGTAGTTGCAATGCCTTTTTATGAAGAAAACAATTCATTATATAGAGTTTCAGACGTATCTTATCTGTATTCTAGCTGTTGAGCACATATTTCGAGGTAAAATAGTCGTTCAAATTTGAATCTACGCAGGTTTGGTCGACCGAAATGAAACACCATTTTGTTTCGGTCGTCCGAAATGACTTGAGGCTAACTTTTACCTTTTTACTTTGGTCGGCCAAAATGGATTAGGCTTTTATTTCGGTCGTCCAAAACAGCCTGGGACCTTTTAGCAAAGCTACTGTAAGAATCGGTCGACCGATTCATATGGTCATTCTATTTTGGTCGTCCGAAATAGCCATGTGACCTTGTTGCTAAGCTACTGCCCAAAATGGTCGTCCAATTCAAATTGTTATTCCATTTTGGTCGACCGAAATGGAACTTCAGTTTTAGGAACATGTTTTGATGATATTTAAACTTTGTCTAATGTTCCTTGATATGGATGAATGGGATTTTGTGCATGATCCTAGATATATGAGCTTCAAAATGTTCATACATGTCACTCACCAACTTAGCTACCCCTTTTTCATTGGTATTTGCATGATCGTTTGATTACTTGATTAATCTTGATAGCTTTCTTTTAGGTCTTGATTCCTTTGCGACCTTTTCTCGTATCTTCATGATGCTCCTTTTCATTTGTGTTTTACATGTAATGTCTTAACTTGATGAATGCTTAGATCTGTAATTTTGCTCAAGGTAGACAATAGAATACATAGAATATCATTGCAAAATAACAATAAAAAAAATTTCTCATAAAGCATAGTCATTGATAAATCAGAAGTGAGGGAGGCCAGTAGCTCGGAGGTCAGCAAGGTCACGCTTTACAAGGTTGACTTCTTTTGCTATTTCTTCAACTCGTTCGCGCAGAGCTAGAATGTGTTCCCTGTTTTCTTTGC